CCACGTGAGGTCACAGAAGCAGGTGGTGGGCAGACACAGGCGCTAGCCACTATTCCATAGCATTTCTCCTGTGCAGGTACAGCAGAGGCCCATTTCCCTCAAGAACACCGATGATAGTGAAATAGAAAATAATTAGGAAGTGGTAAGCGTTCAGTATTTATTACCCTCAAAATAGCATTTCTGGAATTGTAAGTTTATATAATTAAATTTCTAATAACAGCTGGTTCATAAAATTCTGGAAGATTCCAGAGTCTGTGCTCATTAGCCAGTGCAAGCCAGCTCCAGCACACCACTCATTTCGTTTTCCCTAAAATATTAACTTAGACCTTTTTTTCCCCTTTAATTTGCTTTTTACTTAAAAGGCTCTTCAGGCAACCATTCGTTTGTTCAGCCAGGATTCTGTTCCATGCCATGTGCTGTGGGTGGGTCCAGGACCAGGCCACCATCATGAATGGGATAGCTACGTGCTTTGCTCTCATTCACTTATGGTCCAGTGAGGGAGACGGTCGATGGCCCAGCTTACAGATAAACACTGTCAATGTCAAAATTGCACCGTTCAATTGGGTCTGTAAAAGGAAGTGACAGGTGATGTCATAGAGATAATGCTGTTGGGAGGGTGGTGTGTGGCAGGCAGGAAATGGCAGGGGAGAGCCTGCTTTAGGTTCAGGTCAGGAAAAGCTTCTTCAGGGGAGGTGACAGTAACTGAGACCCGAAAGATAAGAAGGGACCAGTCATGCAAGAGTCAGTGGGAAAAAGGTACAAAAGGGTAGGTTCAGTGGGACGCCATATTTTTGAACTGTACAACCTGCAAAACTATTCTGTAAATTTTTTCTAGAAAACTCCTCGTGTGGTAAAAATGGGAAGGCTCCCCACTGGCCTCACGATGGTGGTTAACCTTGGAGAGAGGGGGTAAAATTGGAGGCAGAGATGGTCTTCAACTATGGTGAGGTGTTTTCTTGAGGCGAGCAAGGTGGGGGATAGATACAGCTGGAGGTTATTCTTGTTGGCAGCCACATTATAATTTCTGAATGTGTGAAAAATTTCGTGATTGTGAATTTTTTTTAAAGATTGTTAATTTATTTACTTGACAGATAGAGATCACAAGTAGGCAGAGAGGCAGGCGGGGGTTGGGGGGAAGCAGGCTCCCCACTGAGCAGAGAGCCGGATGCAGGGATCCATCCCAGGACTCTGGGCTCATGACCTGACCCCAAGGCAGAGGCTTTAACCCACTGAGCCACCCAGGCGCCCCCGTGATTGTGAATTTTTTAAGAGTGGGACAGAGAGGTCATAGGCAGTGAACAAAAGGCTCACTGTCAGGGCCTGTGGCTGCCGCACGTGAAGGGGAGGACGGAGATGCCCGTTGGGGAGGTAGGGAGACATGGGCCTTGGAGGCCGTGACCCCAGGTGCAGATTTTATTGTAAGCACTGCAGACGACCCTGGGTGAGTGACGTTCGTAAAGATGATAGTGGCTGCTCCGAGGAGAACTGGTGGGGCATCTGAAGCCCCATCAGGGGAGGGAAGTTATGGTTTCCTGTGCTCGTCTGGAAGAGAGCTAACGGCTCAGACCAGCGTGGAAGCAGGACACGGTGGAACTAGAGGGGAAATTTTGACATGCGATGGCAGGACTTGCTGAGGGATTGGACGGGGGGCTTTGAGAGAGCAAGGGATGATGGGTAACTTTTTTTTGTTTTTAACAGACTTTTCAAGACATAATTCACATACTATACAGTTCACCCATAGGAAGTATGCCATTCACTGGTTTTTGATAGTAGGGATGGCTTTCTTTTTGCAACCTGAGTGTGTGGTGGTTTCAGATACTGTGATGAGGAAAGTAGGAGAGGACCGGGCTTGGGGGTGGTCCTGGGGGAGTGGGTACCTTGGGGGAGGTAAGTTTGAGGTGCCCCTGAGACAGGCAAGGAAAGGAAGTCACGTGGGAAGTCAGATAGTCACAGCAGGGGCCTGAGGATTGTGAATAATGAACAAGTTGAGAGTCTGGAGATGGATGAGAATATCCAGAGGAACAGTATGAGTAAAGAAGGTGTGTGTGGAAGGGGCAAAGGAGCTTTTAGTCCAATGCACTGAGAGTTCATGCTTTGACCAGCCCCCACCCTTTTTTCCCCAAACATTACAGTGAGAGTCCCCCGCAACCGCCAAGAAAGATAAACCCTCCCACCAAACCAAATCTCCAAAACTAATGAAGACAGTGTTAAAAAGACAGCCTCTGAATATCAATGGCAAATGAATTCACTCTAAAATGAAAATTATATTCTGAAAGTGAATTTAAAATAACTGTTTAGGATCTGTATCAGGAACGGGTTTGACTGTGAGTAATAATGGTAGCTCGAGCTAAATAGGAGTTAAATTTTCTGTTATGAATATAGTCTAGGCCTGGTGTCATGGCTTTGCCCCACTAAGCACTCAGGGAACCAAGCTTGACCCCAGCTCAGAGTGTATCCTCAGAGTGTAATTTGGTTGCTAGAACTCCAGCCATTACGTCTGCATTCCAGGCAGTAGCATGGTGGAAAGGCATGTATCAGCTGCCTTATGAAGAAGTTTTTGGGAAACTGACACTTAACCCTTCCACCTACATCCTATTGGCCAGAACTTAGCTAGCAGAGAAACCAAGAAACATATTCTGGTTTGGTTTGGTTTTGTTTTGTTTAAGCTTATTTATTTATTTAGTGATCTCTACACCTAACGTGGGGCTCTAACCCATGACCCCAAGATCAAGAGTTGTATGCTCCCCTGATAGAGCCAGTCAAGTGTCCCAAAATGTATTGTGTTATTACAAATAGCCGGGTGCCCAATTCTAATCCAGGGGTTCTGTTACCGTGGACAAAGGAGATAATAGATAATGAAGGATAATTAGCAGCCTCAGCCTTACGATCCTTGAAGAAATAAAGGAAAGATAGTACACATTAAAAAGAACAAAACAGTGGATTTTTGTTTGTTTGTTTGAATTTCAAACATCTGCTCTTAGAAAGGAATCATTAAGATAATGAATAAACAAGCCTTAGATTAGGAGAAAGTATTCATATATCCTATGTCTCATGATGGACTGGATCCAAAAAATATTTTTAAAGAACTCTCAAAACTCAATAATAAAAAAAAAACAACCAATTTTAAAATGAGCAAAGATTCCAGTAGACTTTTCCCCAGAGAAGATATGTAGCTAACAAGTAACTGCATGAAAAGATGCTCAAAATCATTAATCATCAGAGAAATAAAATTAAAGCCACAGAGATATTGCTTCATGCCTATCAGAATGGCTAAATTAAAAAGACTGTCCATACCAAGTGCTGGCAAAGATGTGGACCAGCTGGTGGGTCCATACGCTGTTGTATGGGAATGTAAAATGTTGCAGCCACTTTGGGAAAACAGTTTAACAGCTTATTAAAAGTTATACATATACTTACCATGGGACCCAGCCATTCCATTTCAATGTATTTGCCACCAGAGATGTGTGTGTCTACAGAAAGACTTATAACTGAATTCTCTTACCACATTTACTTGTAATAGCCAGAAACTAGACAGAACCCAAATACCCATCAAGAAGTAGATAAAAAAGCAAATTATGGCACACCCAAGCAGTGGAATACTACTTCCCAGTACAAAGGAATGAAGTCTGGTACACACATCAGTATGGTCAGATCTCAAGATAATTGCGCTGAGAACATGGCTTCTATTTGATTTCATTTATATAAAATCCTAGAAAATGCAAAGTAATTTACGGTGACAAGAAGCTCACTGGTTTCCTGTGGACTGGGGTAGGAGGGATGGAGGGAGGTAGGAGGGGAAGATTCTGGGGCACAAGGAAATTTGGGGGTGATGGGTATGTTTGTTTTCTTGATTGTGGCAATGGGTATGCACAGTTGTCAAAGTTTATCAAATGGTACATTAAATGTCAATTACAGTTCAGTAAAGCTGTTAAGAGAGGGAAACAGAAGGAACGTGATTTTGTGAAACAGAGGTAGAATGAAGAAAAGATAGATATGAAGATTCTGGGAATGAAAAATATTCATTGCATTAAACGTGCTCATTTAAAAAGAAAGGAAAAAGAAAAGAAGAACGTTAATAAGGAGGTAAATTCTCGACTGGATACAGTCAAAGAGAGAATTAGTGAATTGGAAAAGAGTTCTGAGGAATATTTTCAGAGAACTGCCCGGAAAAGGGGAGAGAGAAAAATAGAAAAAGCTAGTCAAAAGACACAGGGGATAGTCCCAAAAATGTTTAATAGAAATTCTACACAAAGAGAAAATTACTGGAGAAAATGACTAAAAAGCTGTACTCAAAAATGTAAGAGTTTCTCAGAATTTTCCAGAATGGAAGAAGAGATATGTGCTCACCAAGTAATATGCTTGTTGAGTAATAAGAATTTTAAGGGAGTAAATCCTCCACTTCAAAAATAGAGGGAAATTGCACTAAATAAAAAATGAAGGGAAAATCTTAAATTTCACCCTTGATAGCCTTTCCACAAAAGAACAACGGTAGTTTCCTGAACAGCCTATAGCAGCCTTTTGGGCAATCTTCCAGGGGCTGAAAGACAATTAAACAGTCTGCCTAGAACTCCATACCCAGCTGAACTCTGATTCAAGAGTAATGAGGAAATCAGGACATTTTACAGAAGAGAAGGGACCAGCCCATCCCTGCGGCTCTCAACCAGCTTGAGACTGGGGAGAGGAGGAAGCCCCTCGCACGTGTGCTCAGACATCCAGTGCTGGGGGAAGCTAGAGGGAAAGAAGAAGGGCTGGATCTAACTTTCATCATTGTAGTACAGGGCTCCTGGAAGTGCTACTTGTCCGCCATGTTTCTGGTCTTCCGTTAGGACAGGAGAAGGAGATGGGATTCCTGGCCCCTGCTTGGTTTTCAGTCCTGCAGCAGTAGAGGCATTGTACAGGAGGGCAAGCGGAAGGGATGGAGACCCTGGCTTGGGGAGGAGCCCAGGGACATGAGAGCCACTCAAGAGTGGCGCCTTCTAGACTCTCTCTCTGTCTTCCAGATTGTGGACAAGAATAACCGCTACAAGTCTATAGATGGGTCAGACGAGACTAAAGCCAACTGGATGAGGTGAGTCCTGCTTTCTGCTGATTTCCCAGGAGTCTTTCCCAAACTCCAGAAAGGAAACCAAGGGAGTTTGCTGGGGCCTACGAGGTCTCCAGCGGTGGAGGCCCCTGAAGGCCCCGGGACTGCTGTTTGCAGGGTTTGGGATGTATGTAGCTCTGGGAGGACCCTTTTGCTTCCCCAGCCTTCCATCAGGGCGCTCTGGAGGAAGCCTGTGGGTTACAGATGGACACCTAACGTCTGCACATTCGTCCTTGGGTCTGGAGTGCCCAGGGCCCCCAGCTCTGGGCAGCATTCCCACCAAGGAGGGGGCGTCCCTCCCCTGAGACTCTGACCCCCTCACAGGGCCGTCTCCTGCTGTGGGGGTGCAGGACTCATCCCAGTGCAGCTGCCAGCACTTGTTGAAGTGGCCCCGTGGAAAAGGAGGCTTCTGGCACAGTCTAGCTCAGTTTTCGATGGTACTCACCGCCCAGGCATGAGTACTTTCAAGAGTGGTTTTACTGTGTTGCGTGTTTGGGACAGAAGTTTGCGCCAGAAGGATCCTTCCTGGCCAGCCAGCGAGAGCAGGAGACTGGCCCAGGGCTGCTCAGGGGCGGCGGAACTGAGCCTGGAACTGAGGACTCTGCCCACAGCCCTCCTGTTGGGTCTGTGCTGCTGGCCCTGGGCAGGGGTTGCCAGGTTCCCTGTGCGCTGTGTGGGAGGTCAGACTTGCACTGACACCTCCCTGGTGCCTCTCTCTAGGCCCCAGAAGCTGTGACAGGGGGTTTGGAGCTGGGTTGGGAGGGAGGGGAGGGCCTCGGGTGGCTGGACCAGGGCCACCACGGATTGGGCCTTCTGTGGGCATTTGCGCGGTTCTGTGACCCTTGGTGGCTGGGGGATGTGGGAGAGGTTGTGCCAGGAGGGAGGGCCATCAGGAACTTCCTGAGAGGGAGTGTGCTGTATTTCAACTCTGCCACCTTCCCAGCAAACAAGAAGTTGATTGGAGGTGAGGAAGCTATGATGAGGTCTGCTGTCTCCTTCCCCAAGACTTCCTGCCCACCTGTGCTCCCCACCTGAGAGCTGTGGATGGGGAGCATGGGGAGGGTGGGGAGGGAAAGAGGGGCTGTGGTTTACACTCTCCAGAGCATGCTAGGATTCGTCCTCTTATTTGTCGGGGCGACTGTTCTCACTGCCACTTAACAGGGGCAGAAACAGAGGTGCCCAAGGACAGGTGGACCCTTCCCTCCAGCGCCCTTTCACATCATCTGGAGAGCTCGTGCCCTGCAGGGGGCTCCAAGAAGGCCATGGTCACCCTCCTAACCGCCTTCTCCCTGACCACTGGGTGCCGGTCAGCCTGGCCCTTGGAAGTCCCCACCCATTTGCAGAGCTGACCTTGGAACGGGGTGCCCTTGATGGCCCTCGACGGCCTGGCCCTCCCAGTCCTCCCTGACTCCCTCCTTCCACCGTGGAAATCATTTTCTGTACCGTACTTGTTGAATGAAGGCACAGGCCATGTGCTGCCAGGGCCCAGAGGACAGAGCAGGGGGCCTTTGAGCTGGACCCTCCCAGGGGCCGGGTTGCATTTGAGGGCACTGTGACCAGCCACACAGAAATGGGGACCAGACTGGCGGCCTGGGCATCTTCCCTGTGGCTCCCGCCTGGCTCTAGATGAGCAAAGGAGAGTGTGTCTGAGTACAGCCTGGCTTCAGGGCCTTTCTGCACCGGAAGCTTGGCCAGCTGAGCTGATTCCGTGCCATGCCTCCACCCATCTCTGATCTTTCACTCTGGGGACAGGCTTGACCACAACCCCCAGGAAAGACATCATCTGAACTAGCTGGACGATCCTCTGACACCCCAGAGATTCTGACTTCATCGGGCCAAGGATGAGCCCATGGTACTGATATTTCTAAAGCTCGCCATAGCAAGGCTGATGCACTGCTCGGGTTGAGAGCCCCTACTCTATCCTGCTCTTCCCTGCCACAGCGGTACAGCCGAGGCCCAGAGCAGGGCAAGGTCGTACGCAAGGTCATACGGTCAGGGGCAGAACCAGAACCTGAACCCAGCTCTGGACTTCTGGGCCTGCGCTCTTTCTGCTTGTGCACAGGGCCCAGGCGAAAGCGGGACCTCCTGGGCTCTGTGTGGGGTGGGTTCTGCTCCTGCAGTCTTGCTGGCATGGGTCTCGCCTGTCAGCCAGCCCCGATCTGATGCAAGATGGCGCCAGGTGGGGCCCCTCTCTTTCAACAGTCAAGGAGTAGGGGTGGTTGGGAGTGTGGTTTGTTGCCACGGAGATGTCCCTCTGGTGATAATTGGAGGGGAAAAGCCAGTTCCATCCTGGGAACCTGCCTTTCCCCTTAATGTACAACTTCCTTTTGCGCTTACTCATTCCACTGTGCAGACATCCTCTCTTGTACCGTGACAACTTCGGGTCTTGTGCATGATTGAATGGAGTTGATGAGTTTTTTAAAAAAATTAAGTGGAGGGCCGGGAAGAGAATGGGCATCGACGTAATGATTGTTGACCTTATGGCCTCCCTATGCTGGGGGCTCTGTGTTCATGAGATTGGTGGTCTGAAACCAGGGACTCTTTTGCTTTGAGACATGCTGGGTGGTCACAAGTCTTCAGGCAAATGCTACTGGTTTCTATCAGGCAGAAGCCAAGGATGCTGAGAAACATCCCACATGGCCCAAGATGCCCGTTCCCACTCACAGAGAAGTTTCTAGCCCCAAATGCCAATAGTGGAGAGACTAAAAACCTCCCCTGGAATTCCTTCCCCAGGAATTCCTCCTGGCAGCCCTAGAAGCCGATTCTAGAACTACTGCCCTCATTTAATAGAGTGGGAGGCTGGTTGGCACAGGAGACTCTGCATCTAGCTCCAGGTCTGTCTGCGTGCGGGTGCGGGCCCCTGTCACCATCTTGGCCTGGTAACGAAGCCCCAGCCTTCCCTTCTCCTGAGCTATGGTGCTCTGAGTAGGTGGGGTGGGGAGGTGAGGGCTGAAGGATCTTTGCGCCCCCCGCCTCTCGCCGCGGTTGTGGGAGTGGCAGGGGAGAGACTCGGGCTCGGGGTTCCTCTCTTGGGTGGTCTCAAGGTCTCAGTCAGTCAAACAGCCCCTGGCTACTCTGTGCAGTTGGAAGCCAGGGTCACTCCTGGCCTGCATCAGAGTGGAACTGGTCTCCCAGTGGGCGCTCACGGGCTGCTCACGTTCTCCCCCGGAGTTGCCAAAAGGCCATAGTGACCCACCCCCAGAGAGTGGCTGCTAGCCAGCACCAAGGTTGGAGGGGAGTGTCCACACCCCCAGAGGTAGGGACCTGCGGGGCACTTGGGAGCCAGGGAGGGAGATGAAGAGAGCCACAGGACAGTGAGCTTTCTGTGACCACGCCCTAATCACAGGCATCACCAGCAAGGTCACACTGTAAATAGTCGCCCTGTGAGCCGTCTGCAGGGGCAATGGTCTGCCCGGTAAGGACGCTTTGTTCTTCTGGAGGGCTTTAAAGCTCTTGGATGTTGCTCTGCTTTCCCCTCCCTAGTAACGACCCTGAGGTCTGCGCACCTCTAACTTCTGACCCGGCGGGGAGAGGAATCCGGGAGAGGCCAAGTGCACAGCTTGGACTCTCCCCTCTAGCCAGGGCTGAGGCAGAGCCTGCTACGGAAGGCATCTGACTCAGGCCACGCTCCCACCCGCTATGCCACACCCCTCCTGCTCTCCTGCCCCTGAGGAGTAGGGGAAGGGGCCTCTGGCTAGGAGGAGGGTGTGGTGGTGGTGAGCGGGCGAGGGTGCCCAGGTGCCTCCTGGCTCCCCCACTGGGGGCCGGCAATTAGGAAGGAGGAGGACCACCAGCCCTGATGGTCATTTACCCAATTGTGCTTTGTGGGATATTCAACCCAAGGAATGTGGCGCCCCTGGCCGAGCGCAAGAGGAAACCCAAGTTCTCCAAGGAGGAGCTGGACATTCTGGTCACGGAGGTGACCCACCACGAAGCGGTTCTCTTTGGGAGGGAGACCATGCGGCTGTCCCATGCCGACAGGGACAAGATTTGGGAAGGCATAGCTCGGAAAATCACCTCCGTCAGCCAGGTCCCCCGCTCCGTCAAGGACATTAAGCACAGATGGGATGACATGAAACGGAGGACCAAGGACAAGCTGGCCTTCATGCAGCAGTCCCTGTCGGGCCCCGGGGCTGGGAGCCGGGCCCCCACCATCGTGCTCACTGCCCACGAGAGGGCCATCGAGTCAACCCTGCTCACAGCCCATTCTGGGCACAGCTTCCCCAGGGCAGAACTGGATGGCACCGACAGCCCGTCAACCAGCTGTGAGTACCGCCGGCCTCCCCTCCCGGCCTTCCCACTGCCTGCTCCCTGGCCTCCTCCTCCTCGGCCATCCCCCCCCTTCCCTGGCCCTCTCTTCTTTTCTGTCCCTCCCCATCTCATCCAGTCTTCCCGTGTACCCTTCCCTCCTTCTCCTGCTTGGTCTTCTCCGCCCCTTTCCGTTCATTCATTCTAGAATATTTCCTGAACTCTGTGCCAGGAGCTGTGCCGGGAGCTGGGAAGACAGAGTTGTATATAAAACCTACAGCACCCCTGCCCGTGGGTCGTCCCTAGACTCGTGGGAATACATGAGCTTTAAGTCGTTGTACAAGGACAGCCGTTAGGAAGAGATCAAGGGTGGACGCAGGAAGTCCTGAGAGCGAGGCTGACTTCCCAGGCGCACGCCCTAGACCACCTGCTCCGTGTCCCTTGGGCTCTGTACGCACAAGGTCACGGTGCTGACTTTACCGGGCTGCTCTTGCCTTCCCGAAGTTCATAGTCATTTCTGAACAAGGGGCCCTGCATTCACATTTTGCATTTGGCCCTGCCAGTTCCCTCACTGCCCTGTCTGATGGCCAGGGACCCTGGATCTGACTCTCCCTGGGGGCAGGGGAGGGCTCCCAGGAGCGGCCTTGGAACTGGGAGGCACAGGGTGAGTAAGAGTTAACCGGCCTCGGCAGCATGGGGCTCGGGGAGGGGAGCAGGGAGCCTCCAGGCCGAGAACT